ATTGGAGTCCCAGGGTAGTGATTTGCTACTCTCGCTCTCTTATCAGCATTTGCTTTTTTTGACTTATATTTGCATACGTTACAAATTAAGCACAACTTATTATGAAACGATGAAAGCTTTTCGCAGATTTTTACTTCTCTATTTTTTCTTGTCCAAATCCGTGAATTTGTTCTGCGCATGCTCTCGTCTTTAGCTACAATCACTAAATATTTATATATATATGTGTGTGCGTATGTGTGTGTGTGTGTGTGTGCGTATGTGGGGGGTATCTTTGTGTGTAAGAAATATATACATACAGACGAAGATAGAGGTGTGACGTCCCTGCCGCAGCGCCAGCTGTGACGTCCTTGGTCGCGGCGTCAGCTGCGACGTCCCTAAACACAGCCTTCGCTCGCTCCTCGCTGCTCCGTTCGGGTGTCGCCGCTCCAAACGTGACGTCCGCCTGTCGCATCAGTCGTGTTGTCTCGTCCTGTGACGACCAACTGGCTTGGTATCGGTCGCGGCACCCAAATGTGACGTTCTAACCTTTTGGTGATTCGGATGGGAATCTGGTTAGATTCGATATCAGCCTCGTCGTTCCCAACTCGCTTCCAACGCCTGGTTACCAAAGTAACTGCATTGATCCCCAGTCTGCCTACCCACGTTGTGAATTGATCTTAGGCACACGAGATCAATCAGTAGTTGGGTCCGTAATGCAAATCGGGTTCAACGGGGGTGACACCACACAAATATGCATAAAAGAAAATAAAATGATAACTCAAAAATTCAAGGTATCAAAAAAAGGATAACAAACTTTATGTCTAGTTGTTGGATACATAAGACTGCGTCTATTTCCCGACCCGTTCTATGGATTGTGACACGTTGTTTTCCGTTAGGCGAGTTTTAACGCTTCAAGTTGTTTGCTCTTTAAGAAATTGGTTTTTCGGTGTGTCTTCGGGCGAAAGTCGAAAAAAAAACTTATTCTGGCGTGAACTGCCCTCCCCACTTCTTCGTAGCAACCTCTCATACCCATCCTCTAGATGGGCGGCGACAGCCTCCTCCTTGCGTCACGTGATCACCACTCGACCAATGATGTTTTAGTCGGGCGTGTACGATTCCGCGGCTTTGTTTTAGGGAAAAAAAATATCTTGCTTAAAAAAAAAAAAAAAATATCTTTTTCTTTTCCTTTTCTTTCTTTTAATCGCAGTTATCATTTTCTCTAGCCGCAAACAGAACAATACGATCGATGGTGGTCATAACTCTTGTTCTTCACCTGTGCTTCGTCAGTCATCTTATCGCTAATTATCAGAATGGGTGGTCTTTTTAACACGGCCAGACCGTCGCCTCGAAAAAAAACATTTCTAAGTTCCCATTCATTTTTTTCGGTACACATTTCTGATAACATAGTTTTATTATCGCAGGCTAAAGATGTTCCGTCGAAAGAAATCGGTCAGTGGTCACCTCGTGTGCGGCTTTTGATACAATTAATTTTTCATATCTATCCAAAGCCCTATAGTTCACCTGTGTTTTGTCATTTATCAAATAACATTTTAAATTGGACTTTTCTTTGGCTAGTCGGGATGGGGTTTGCTTAATCAGATGCTTTCCCGCACTAGCGGCTTGTTTATGTATCCCAGATAACACAGCCCGTCGCTAGAACACACCCGATTCCTTTATCCTCTCAGAATTTTTTTTTCCATCGTAATGACAATCTTCGCCATTTGTTATTTATCAAAATATCCTTTATCCATTGTCTCTTAGCCGTGGTGTTCTGCTTATCATCCACGCTTTGGGTCTTCGCCTCTCCTTTCCTTTCTTTTCTTTTTCTGCCTTGGTAAATGGTGCCACAGAAGTGATAAGAAAGTATTTAGCTCCAAGTTAAAATGATGATCCTTCTTCCTGTTGTGACAGTCTGATCAAGTTTTCCTCTCTATTGTTCCTTTTTTTAAAAAAAAAATAAATAAATATCTCCACCGTTCTGCTGATGGTTCTTGAATGGACTTTGAAGTTGAAGCCAGAGTATGAATGTCGGTACCATTACTGAAGGCCTGAACGATCTTTCCTCTCACCATTGCTCAGTTGAAAAAGACATTTTGGCTCTGACACAGAACGATTTTAACCAACTCTATTTCTAGATGAATAACTATATATATATATATATATATATATATATATATATATATATATATATATGTATGTATATATATAGCAGTAGAGCCCCGCGTTGCCCGGGGATGTAACAGTAAGAGATAGATCAAGTATCAACCATCATAAAGACTGAAAAATTAAAGTGACAAAGATTATTGTTTAAGGTTGACGGACACGCATGTCTTAATTATTTTTTTTTGTTTTTTTTTTACGAATTGGTCAAATCCAAACTCAAACAAAAACATCGTTTTCAATCGTTATGAGTCTACCGATTGAATAGAATTTTTTAATTTTATTATAAACAATTGTCTTGTATATGGAATTTTTAAAGCATTCTGAATGTAAAAATAAAGAAAAAAGTGTTCAAGACAAT